AGGGGAAGAACCTTTTTCTCACCTACGTTTTCTCCTAGCAGGAAGCTGCCTGTGCAAAAGAAATTCCCAGGCCCAAATACACCACCTGAGGGAACAGAGGACGCCTGTGCGCCTGCAGAAAGCTAGGCTCCGAGCGGCCCTCTTACCTCTGCCGTAAGCTGTAATCAAAGTCCACGTTGCTCTGGGGGGGGATGCAGCCGTTGCCAGCGTAAGGCTTTGGACCACAGAGGAGAAACAAACATTAGTCCCAGGCACAGCCCGAGCACACGGAGGAAACGTTCTCACGAAACACACGAGTGCCCGCTAGGCCTTAAGAACAATAATAACATAAGAGAAGCCAATGTTGGATCAGGCCAATGGCCCATCTAGTCCAACACTCTGTCACACAGTGGCCAAAAATACCAGGTGCCATCAGTAGGTCCAGCAGTGGGGCCAGGACACTAGAAGCCCTCCCACTATTGACCCCCCCAAGCACAAAGATGACAGAGCATCCCTTGCCCCAGAGCCCCTAGCTATACCTTGTGGCTAAGAGCCACTGATGGACCTCTGCTCCATATGCTTATCTAATTCCCTCTTGAAGCCGTCCATGCTTGTAGCCGCCACCACTTCCTGTGGCAGTGAATTCCATGTGTTAAGCATTGACAAGAGCTGTTCTTGAAAAAGAGCAGTTTCTGTCAAGAGCTCTCTCAGCCCCACCCACCTCACAGGGTGTCTGTTGCAGGGAGGGGAAGGGAAAGGAGTTTGTCAGCCGCTCTGAGACACCTTTGGGTAGTGAAGGGCCAGGGGTATGAATCCAATCTCTGTTTAGTTTCATTTCTGCTGTGTCTTTTACGTTTCTATTTGGATGACTTTCAGTGCCTGGCGTAGTCTCTCTCCTGGGAAAAGTAGCCCATTGCTTTGGCGGGCTTCTACTTGATCCCTGATTGGCCCTGGGCCGTCAGGGGGCCTCCTTGAATAACGTTTATCTCTTTCTTGCACACGCTTTTCTTCAGTTCTAACACGAAATGGTTAAGCTATCTGCATAGTTTGGTGTGGTGGTTAAGTGCGCGGAGTCTAATCTGGGAGAGCCAGGTTTGATTCCCCACTCCTCCTCCACTTGCACCTGGCTGGGTGACCTTGGGCGAGCCATAGTTCTGACAAGAGCTGTCCTTGAAAAAGAGCAGTTTCTGCCAAGAGCTCTCTCAGCCCCACCTACCTCACAGGGTGCCTGTTGTGGGAACCCAAGGCGAGCCCGATCTTGTCAGATCTCGGAAGCTGAGCAGGGCCGACCCTGGCAAGCCCTTGGATGGGAGACCTCCAAGGAATACCAGCAGTCAGGAGGCGGGGGTAGGCTTTATTCAGCCACCTCTCTGAATATCCTCAGTCACCAGAGGTCGCCATGACTTCCAGGTACACACACTTGCACACGCACACACACAAAAATAACGGCCAAGAGAGAGCCACACCAATGGCAGGAGGGCGTTCTGATCCAGAGAACAGAGCTGAATTTCCCAGCCTGAGACCTCCAAGGGAGCTCCAGCACACGGCTACCCCACATTCTTCTCCCCTGATTCCCCGCAGGCAGTCAATAAAGTAACTGTGCAATCTCCTTTTATGTCACTGTTCATTATGGGCGCCACAGGGCTGCAGTTCGGCACCGCTCTCAGCAGACAAAGCAGGGTATAAGTTCAGATTCCCCACAACCGCACGGGTCCCCACGGACAGCCTACCCCATATGTGACCATCACTGCGCTGGGCTTTAGCAGCTTCCCGGCTCCTTTGAACAAGCCCTGCAAAGGGGGGGTGGAAAGAAGATGGGGGGGGGATGACAAAAAAAAGTTCGAAGCCAGAACCTTTCCAGGATATTTGGGGGGAATGGCAATGTACAAACCCCCGTTAAACGTACAAACCCCTGCCAGGAGTACAACCACAACTGTTTCTCAGGAGCAACTGGAAACTGAGCAGCTCCCTTCTATTCTCCCATAACCACCACATCCTGTCTCTGTGAAAGTTTAGCAGGCTGTCGTACAAATGCATCATCCAGGGGGTGGTCACGGTCCTCCGAGGAACAAATTTCTGCTGCAGCAACAGCAGTCTGCTGGACAGCAGGTACCACTCAACAAAAGAATCCTCAGCTGAAGAGCCAGTTTGGTGGAGTGGTTAAGGGCGCGGACTCTAATCTGGGAGAACCGGGTTTGATTCCCCACTCCTCCACTTGCACCTGCTGGATGACCTTGGGTCAGTCGTAAGTTCTCTCAGAGCTGGTTTCCAGTTTTTGGCGACTTGCACGCGGGCGCGTTCCATCATTGCTCTGATGTGAGCGGCCCGCAAACGTGCCGGTGGGGAGGGGTCCGAGTTGATCTTGGACCCCCCGCAACCCTTTGTAGGAGGGTTGCAGGCTGGGACACGAGAGGTGCCTCTCCCAAGACGGAATGCCAAGGGATGGAGGCAGCTTTTTGCCCCGATAGGTCCTCGCGGCACGGAGCCAGCAATGGTACCTGGAGGCGCACACCGGACCGAGCGCGCAAGAGACCCTCCTGAACCTATCTTCCCTACCACAGAAATGAACGCAAGTAAGAACGGGAGTAAACGTAGGATTTAGCAAGTCTCCACTTGATTGCTGGTAGTAAAGCCGACCTGAAGCCCCAAACAAGTGGAGAGGGGGGTGGGGGGGGGGGGGATCCCCATCCCAAACGGACTGAGTTAAAGCGGGAGCGAGGGCGGCTTGAAAAGAGCGAATGGTGACGGAGGGAGGTGCAGATTAGCAACGAAGCGATATCTCCAGACTTAAAGAAGCCTTAAGAGACTTTTTAAAACTCCCTATTAAGTAAAAACAATGACGCAGCGTGCAGAAAAAATGGTGGCGAAAGTGAAACGTACAGGAGCAGTCAGCTCATCGTCTCCGGTTATTAACACTAAATGAGACCGCAAAAATAAAAACAAATGGGGTTAAAAACAGATATTGATCATGATATTTATTTATTCTA